ATTGTTCTTAGGTCAATAGAGTTCGAACAGCACAAGTTATCTTACCTCTAGCCTACGTCTGGTCAGCACTTCATCAAAACGCAAACTGAGACAAAGCAGTGGCGAAACACAGGGGAGCACGGACGAGTCGCTGTCAGTCGGTGCCTTGCTCAGACGATACTGCACTGACCGCGCCCGCCCAGCGTGTTAGCCACTGTCATGCGAAGAGCGCTCCCGAGAGCGCGCTCGCACTCAGAATTTCAAGCGCACCGGTCAAAAAAGCGATCAAGCCCCCTTCTGACCTGCGACCTTGTGACAAAAATTACGAGTCCAGAAATGGAATCAGCATGCCTCAAAACCCCCGTATACCAAATTTGAAACACATCGGCCCAAAAAATGGGATTTACCCCCCTTTTTGGCCTGGTTCCGCCCCTATGACAAACATTTCGAGTTCAGAATTAAAATCAGCATGCCTCAAAACCTCTGTACACCGAATTAGAATCACATTGGCCAAAAAATGGGATTTACCCCCCTTTTTTGACCTGGTTCCGCCCCTGTGACAAAAAAGGCGAGTTCAGAATTGGATTCAGCATGCTCTAAAACCTCCGTACACCGAATTTGAATCACATTGGCCAAAAACTGGGATTTACCCCCCTTTTTTGACCTGGTTCCGCCCCTGTGACAAAAATTTCGAGTTCAGAATTGGATTCAGCATGCCTCAAAACCTCCGTACACCGAATTTGAATCATATCAGCCAAAAAATGGGATTTACCCCCCTTTTTTGACCTGGTTCCGCCCCTGTGACAAAAATTTCGAGTGCAGAAATGGATTCAGCATGCTTGAAAACCCCCTATGGATGATTCGGATGCAAATCCTTTTGCCTACTTCACGTGCAACTGCCACATCGGTAATAGTAATACCAAAATCTCTCAAAATGAGGCAAAATCAAGTCGACTTTACGAGAAAACGAGCACGTACGAGCACGAACGGCAAGTTGTCCCGTAAACAGGGACCCTTGGCCTGTAAGATGGCGCAGCAACCACCGTGGCCAAACGTGGCCAAAAAAAGATACAGCCCTTCAAAATTGTTAGAAAACACGATTTCCGCAAGTCCTTTGGTGTCCTGCAGGACTCGCGTATGTCCTCGCAGCAACGTAACCACCGCAGCGGCGTGTTCCCTGGGTTCTGCCCTTTCCATTGATACCCGGAACACGTAGGTCAAGCTCAAGAAACGGACGGAAAATGCCGAAAACAAAAGCAGTGCGAAATCACACCGGATCTTGAACAAAAATGACACTTTTTGAACAAGAAAATCACCCAGAAGGCAGCTAGATCGGGGTGTCCCCTGAGTTGTTTTATGTACAGTAGACATCCATAAATGAATCCCGCACGTAAAATCCAGACATATTTCACTTCTAAAAATTAGAGTTTTGATCGTTTTTTCCCGTTCTCAGCTCACTGTGGGCCTGCGGCCCTAGAGATTTGCTCCTTGGAAATGACAAAAGACTGTAACGGGGCAACACCGTGACTACACCCCACCCTTCTGCTTTGCTTAAAAATTTTAAAAAAATTAACCCGCGCAGTTTTTAGATTGTATATTGTTTGTCAAAG